AAGTAGGAGTTGAGTATAGGATAACAATTATTGACTATAAAAGAGATTTGAATTTTTGTATTGAGGAGTTACAGCAAATATGAATAGATTGGTGGGAATAGCACGTATGTGAGATGTTTTGAGGTATTAAGGGAACTTGAACTTGAGGTTATGACGTTATAATAAATGTAACTAGAAAAGGGGAGAATAGGAATAAAAAGATGAATATTTTGGAATGTGTTAATAAACATAAAATGATGTTGTTCCTTAAACATGTTTGTTTTCAAAAAGGATTTTTGGTTTTCTAATAAAAAGGATAGTTTTTTATGGTTAAAGGTTTTCCTTAAATGTTCAAATAAATTTTGAGAAAAAGGTACTCTACATATGATATTTTGAAATTATAAAACGTCACCTACTATATGGTATCATCCTGCATGCATGTTCATTTCTATCTATAGGATGGTTATTGTTTTAGAACTATGAGATTCGTACTGGGGAATTATGCTCACCCCTTGTTGTTTCATTTTTTTTACAGGAAGAGATTTTGGATTGATTGGTTGAAGGATTAGGAAGTTCATGTATCTCTTATGTGTAATCTCGTTGTGCTGTGATGTTTGTAATCATTTATTTTTAACCCCGTAGTGGGAGCTTGGCATGCATTATCATTATTGTTGTACTCATCATGAGAGAGAACATGTACTATTATGTTTTTATTACTCAAGGGTAATAGATATTTTTAATTTAAAAAAAAAATGGACCTAAATTTCAGACTCTTGGTAATGTTTTTGAGTAATTAAAATTTGGGGCGTGACATCTGTCAAAAGGCTTGTACCACATGTATCTTGTAATTTTTTAGGGCATATATGCACTTTGTAATTGAAGTAGAAAATGACATAATTTCATACTTTTTAAGTCATAATTATAAATAAAAAAAATGTCATAATCAAACACAACATGAGACATAACTAAAGAATTTATAAGTCATAACTAAAATAAAGTCAAAACTTAAAAAAAAGAAAGAAAAAAAAAAGAAGAAAAAGTCATAATTAAAGAAAAAATTGACATAATTAGAAGTGTATATGGCTTACTCTTTTCAGAGTGAGCTTGTTAGAATTTCCTATGTTATATAGCAGGAAACAATAGCATTTGAAGAGATGAGACACCGTCTAATTTTAATTCACAATAATGTTAGGAATCATGAAAAGTTTTTATAAAGATTCTCTACCTTTGGATTAGCTTGTAATGTTTTATTGTATGTTATGCAATCTTCCTTAAATTAGTTTCATAAAACTTTTCATGATATTTTTTCATGATGTGTAATATTACTCTTTAACCATCCTCTATATCTCCCTATATGACAAAATTATAGATATTAAAAAAATATATATATTTCCTTTTCGAGTTTTATCAATTTCCCTTTTTAATTAATTTTTTCTTAGAAATATAATTATCAGATCGATTTAATTTTTTTTTTGTAAATAATATATACAGAATATCTTACAAAACAAACGGTTCAAATAATCAAAACATCACCCATGTCGGACATCTAACAAAATTTATCAACAATTGTTAGGCCATCTCCAACGGTGCATCAAACCTTACATCAGATTTGAAATTTGATGACAAAGTGACTTTTTCTCACTCCAATGGTTTCACCAAATTGATATCAAAATGAGAATGGAACAAAAGTTTCATCAAACTGAGGACAAGCTCTGGATTTCAATATTTCACTGTTCTATACCGTTGGACGGGGGCAACCGGTCAACCAGCCGGATGTCTGGCCGATGGACCAACCGGTTGACCGGTTCCCTTTCAAATAGGTAGGTTCAAACAGGTCAAAAAGGTTCAAACAGGTCCCCAAAAAAAAAAAATTAAGCCTTACCGGTCGATCGGCCGGTCGACCACTAAAAGATTCAAACAGTTCAAATAGGTAGGTTCAAACAATTCAAAAAAAAATTTAAAAAAATTTTGCCTTACCGTTCGACCGGCCGATCGACCAACCGGTTGTCCCTGGAGCAGATTTGATGAAAATTAACCATTGGAGCATTCTGTATCAAATTAAGAAAATGGTCATTTTTTTACTCAAATTTAGTAAAAAATTAAGTAAAACGTTGGAGATGCTCTAACTCATTAAAAGTGATGAAGTTGCTGAAAATGAAGTTGAAAATTTGAGCAGAATGCTATCATGGCACCACAATACACGTTGAACGCCCACTCTATAATATACGCAACAAGGGGTGAAGCCCATATGCAGATCGTGGACCACCGTGGGCAGTCTGTGTTCAACGAGAGGATCCAGGAGGGGCAGATGGTGGTGGTGCCGCAGAACTTTGTGGTGGTGAAACAAGCCGGAAGAGATGGGTTTGAATGGGTGGCCTTGAAGACCAATGAGCGTGCCATTTTCAGCACTCTGGCGGGTCACACCTCAGCCCTTAGGGCCATTCCTGTGGATGTCCTAGCCAACGCCTACCAGATTTCGAGGGATGAGGCAATGAAATTGAAGCGGAGAAGGGATGAGTCGATCATGTTCGAAGCAAGTGCTAGGCCTCGGAGAGAGACGAGGGCTGATGCTTAAGCCTGTATGTATGTAAGTATGCGGGGTCAATGTAGTTTTGTTTTTGTGGTTTCTTCTACTACTACTACTACTATAGTACTGCTTCTGCTACTACGGTAGAGAATAAGAAAAGCTTTTAGATGAGCTCTGTATTTGCTATGTAAGAGAAGAGTTTCAACTACTATGAATGAATAAAAAAGGAACAGCACGTTACGTATATATATACCTTTGGGATCCAGAGTGTTTGTACTAGCTTTGCTCTTTCATTTTGGTCTCTAAATCCTAGGCCTTCCAATACTTTTAGCTTAACAAGAGTTACTAAAACAATTAGAAAAAATTATAATTTATGTTAAAATATCAAAAATTTTATTTTTTCTTTATTTTTTTTTTAAAAATATCAAAAAATTAACTCAAACATATTAATTTTTTAACCTCATATTTTAATTAAAAAATCAAAAAATTACTAAAATGACATATTCCAAACTAGCCCTATGCATCGTGTGTAGACGTCATGCAGAACACACATAGACCCCTCTCGTTTTGCTTTGAAAGTCAGAGGTGTTTCCGACTCATTTCCTAACAACGCATCAACCGGTGTTCAAATTTGTTTTGTGCTCTGTAAAATTCTCTCATTGTGAAAAACCCTTTTATTTATTTTTATTTTTAAGTTTTAATTTTCCAGACTCGACCGAAAAAGGAGGACGAACCAGCTGTGTGTGGTGGCAATCGAAATCGAAATAAAAATAGACATAGAAAGAGATGGGTGTTTTCGAAGAGATTGGAGCCGATATTAGGTAAGGATTTCAGATTCTTCCCCCTCACACCCAAAATCTTCAATTTTCTTATGTCTTATTTCTCTCTCGTGCTTTCCCCAATCTTGTTTCTCTCAATTTTGGATTTGGTATGTTGAACTAATCTGAATTCGGATTGTTGTAATTTTACAGAATTTTGTTGGGTTTATTAAAAATTTTGTTACATAACTCCATCTTTTTAACATTGGAGAATATAATTTTGGGTTGTGTATATTGTTTGCGTTTCATCTCTCAACTCTTGAAATTGATTTAGTGGGTTTGCTTAGAAATCCAAATACTGTATTTTAGTTTTGTGTGATAGATGTTAATTTCCTGCGTTTCAATTTGTGGCCAGATGACAATTGTAGTTGTTGATGTAATAAGCAAGGGCCTGTGTTTGAGATAAGGGGTGGAAGTTCTTTTGGATGAATTTTGTGTTTTTAGTTTCTATTATTATATACTTTTGAATCGAATGGAGCATTTTATGATTGATGCCAATGGGTTGGACGACAGTTCCGATATTGAAGTGGACGAGATAAGGTGTGAGAATATCACAGATAAAGATGTCAGTGATGAAGAAATTGATGCAGAAGACTTGGAGAGGCGAATGTGGAAGGACCGTATCAAACTTAAGAGGATCAAGGAAAGACAGAAGCTTGCAGCCCAGCAAGCTGCAGAGAAGCAGAAGCCAAAGCCTCCACCGAGTGTGGACCGAATACATAACATTTTTCATGAATCCATGTTACGAAGTTACCTCCAAGATTCGTCCCATATTACACACTACAATCAGATTGCTTTAGGTGACAACCTGATCTATAAAGAGAAACCGACTCAAATTTTGGATCGTCAAGCGAAACAGCTACAGAAAAAGACAATTCCAATGGTGAAAGTTGAATGGCAGGAAAACTACGGGAAAGAAGCCACTTCGGAAAGGGAAGAGGAAATGAAACAACGGTATCCGAAGTTATTTTTCTCCTTGAGGTAAAACAAGTTTAGGGGACCAAACTTCTTAAATGGGAAAAGAGTGTAATAACCCAACCGTCTTCTATGCTTTAATTCTTTCAATAGATGGGTGATTATATGTGTGATGATATGCTTGGTATGAAATTCCATGTTTAAATGTGTGAATTTCATGTTTATATACTTGTATCTATCGGTTATGAAAAAAATATGTTGAAATTGCGACCTTTGGACTAAAAATTGAAAGCCTTAGAGGCACGATAAATCGAAATTGACTTTACAGTTATGATGAGCATGATTTTTAGAACATAATATGAAGTTTTGTAAAAATTTGATTCGTAATGAATTAATTGGATTTATTTAGGCTCAACTTATAACCAAGCTTGACTTAGGCTTATTTAACTTATAACTAAGCTTGACTTAGGCTTAAATAAGTTTAGCCCTTGGTGTAAGATATAGAAGAGCCTTATATGAGATTTAGACTCAACCAAACATAAAAATATCTCATGGGAAGAGTTCTAGAGAAAGAAAGAAGAGAAAAGAGAGAAGAGGAAGACAGTTCAACAAGGAGCTTGGAATTTGGGGATTCAAGGGGGAAAATCAAGACAATAGCTCAATGTATGTGTAAATCACTAAGAATACTCTAATCCTTCTTGAAATTGGTTAAAATAAAGCCTTAAGATGAAGTTTCTTACATGTATATAAGTTAGGGTTTATGGATTATGATTTTGATTAAATACATCCCATGAAATTAACATGGATTCCTCACATTTGTTTGATTTAAGAGTTGATTTCCTCATTTTTAGTTTGATTTGAGGTTGATTGTGAGAACTTGAATTGTAATCTTGAGCCCTTGAACTCATGTAAGCATATATAACTATATATATATCATCAAAAGATGGAAGAAATGAAAGAATTATGAAAATTAGGAAATTATATGTCAAATTAGAAGAAGTTTGATTTCATTGAGCTTGAGTTTCATGTTTATTATAGTCATATGTCATGTTTTTGAAGTGAAATTGCTTGAATTGAACATTAGAAATGAGTTTGGAAGGCTTGAATTTGTTGGCTTTTCGGACTACACAAACAGAGCCTAGAACCGCACGTGCGGGGCTCTTGGTTGCACGTGCGAGATGCATAGCTGCACGTGCGGGGGTCAGACCCGCACCTGTGGAAGACATGGGACTCAAGTTGGGCATTTTGAAATAAAAGCACGTGCAACACACCTCTCCACAAGTGCGGTGAGAAACTTCCGCACGTACGGGAATTGGGGAAAAATTCTGTCAACTTTTGTTACCCTTTTTGACCCTCTAAATATGTTAATGTGTATATTTAATCTCTCCAAAAGGCTTTAAAATGAATAGAAAGTGAACGAAACGGAGAAATAATTAAAGAGAAGAAGCTAAGAAAAGATAAATCGCTTGTCAAGTTGTGTGTGTGCCATGTCTAGGTCACTTGCCGAAAGGGACCCTTGTACGACCAAATCACTATAAGTAATAGTAGTGTAACAATATGCTATGATTTATGTATTTTTGATCGTGAATGACATACGTTATATAATTTGTGTTTTGATTGGAATGATTGAGCATTGGATTTCAACGGCATATGAAATGGACCTGAGGTCGTTCTATTTCTGTTATGTATGATGAGCCCTAAGGCCATTATGTCTTGTATGGATTGTTTATGACTAATGGCCCTAAGGCCGAGGGAGGCAGAGACATGTCGATGTTCCATCTACCCTATAATGTTCTGAACAGTTGTTGATATGTTAGGCCTAAGGCCGTTCCGTATTATGTTGGGTCCAAGGTCGTTCTGTATTATGTTGAGCCTAAGGCCGTTATGTATTATGTTGGGCCCAAGGCCATTCCGTCTTATGTGGACCCAAGGCCATTTTGGAATATGATTTATGGTTCAGACATGTGTACATTGTATATCTATTCTTCAAGACATATGCTCATGCTTATAAATCTCCTTGCATTATTATTACTCACCGAGCCTTGCTCACTCTGTATATATATATATATATTTATGTAGGTGATTAGCTCAGAGGCCAGCCCTAGGTCAACTTCAGGAACTTTTGATGGACCTGTTTTGTTGGAGCTCTTTTGTCTTCTTTTTTTTATTATTATTATTATTATTATTATTATTATTATTATTATTATTATTATTATTATTATTATTTTATTTATTTATTTTTTTTTTTTTTGAGGAGTTCCGTTGATGCCATAGATTTGTTAAGTCCTTGGTGGCTTTTATTGAACGCTTGGTCAATATGTAATTTTGGGCTTCTAACTCTTTGTCTATACCTACATGCTTGGACTTGTATATATATGAACTGTATATGTGAACTCTCTATATGTGACTTGATGTTTAAGTCTGGCATATAAGCACTAGCCAATGGACATTCTGTTATTTTATTTGCTTCCGCTCAAGCCTCGTTATGATAAATTCTTGGTAATTTTGTCTGAGGCCATAAGTAATCAAGAGGTTACTAGCCAGTCATGATCCAAACTTTTAGGAGCGGGTTTGGGTCGTGACATGGGTTATCAAAGACATCTCATTTATATTAATAACACACACTCATACATACATAAGAAGTCCTACATGTCCAAGATCATACATATGTCATGACACACAATCATTAAACCAAAATATAGACGCAGTCAAGCATGACTAATAAAAGAAAAAAGAAAATCAAAAAGACAAATGCCTTATGCATGAGGCATCCTTTGCAAACTCCACAAAAATTTGGTATTTCTTCACAGGTTCACTAGGGCTGGGGCTGGACATCCCGCTGCTCACCTACATACATACATATATATATATATAATAGAGTGAGCTAACATCCAATGAATAACATCAGAGTAAAGGGGTCATTTGAATGAGTTCTAGTAATTGACATAAGCATTTCTATATCATCAATAATGCATAGCGGAACGACCTTGGGTCCGACAAATAACAGAACAACCTTAGGTCCAACGTATAACAGATGTACAGAATGGAATTGATCATATCATAACAGAACGACCTCAGGCCCAATCATTTACAGTTGTATATTGACCATTTGGTCAACTCATAACAGATAATCAAACTTATCAAATGTTCAGAAGGACCTTGGGTTCATCTTGTCAAATGTACAGAACGACCATAAGTGTATTTCAGATATACAAAACGACCTTAGGTCCATTATATACATTCATGTCACATCAATCACATTTAAAGATATCGTGTTAATCAGACAAATAGAAACTCATTCACACTTGTAAAACCATAGTTTCAAAAAAACTTACCACATTAGGACATTCAGAAAATAGAGTAATTAAGAAAATATATTTACTAAGATGTTACTCATAGTGATTCGGTTGTTGACTTGTTCTCGTAGATTATCCTACATAGTTCATAAACATACACACATTGAATTAGATTGCTTAACCGGATTATTCTTTAACTTAAACAATTCTTTTAAATCTCATTCTAACCCATAAAATTCATTTAGGATGTTCAATTCATATCTAAGAATGACCAGAAAGGAATGAGAATGCCAGAGTGAGTAAAACATGACTTTTCAAAATATGCAGAAACATGACAGTTCGCTCGAGCGTAACATTGGTCGCTTGAGCAATCCACATGGTCTACAAAAGTACTAGATGGTCCGAATCTAGGCTCGATGTTCGCTCGAGCCAATGTGCAAAATAAAAGGCAGTCGCTTGAGCCAACTATAAATGCCTGTAAAAATCCTAGATGCATGAAACGTGCGCTCGAGCGACAGATTGTTCGCTCAAGTGGTAAGGCAGAATTCTGGAATTTCCAAAACAAAATTGAACTTCAAAACAAGTGTTTTCAAATCATGATTTTGTACGGCTCAATCACAACTTCTCAAACACTTAAAACTCTTCCATAAACATGGATTCAAGACCAATTCTCAAGCCTCGTGGCCAAACTTCATGAATTCAACTCAAATGGTCATGCATGTATGATTAAACTTCAAATTCTTTTCTAAAGTGTCAAAAACATGAAATTGAGTTCCAAAACAATCTAATTCATGGATGTATGTATGATATAATCCTCCATTCAAACATAGATAACATGAACCATGCTTAAAATCATGAAACTTTACTAAATTATGCATGCATGTTTGAATTGACTCTAAATTCATCATCTCTAGCTCATTTATTTCCTTTAATTACATAATCCTCATGAACTCACATATTTGATGGTTTAAACTCAAGAATTAAGGTGTAAACACCTACCTAGAATCTTCAAGAACACTAATCCTAGTAAGAACTTGAGTTGTCTTCCTTAATTCTTCAAGCCCCCTCTCTCTTTCTCTCTCTAAGTTACTCTCACTTTCTCTTTAGAATGTAAATTTTGGAATTTGAGCTCAAGAAAAATGAACTAATCTCATCACTTAACATACATATATATAGCTTAATTAACTTAATACACTAATCAAGGATTAAGCTAGTTAATTGAACTTAAGTTAATTAATCAAAAGCTCAATTTAATTGATTTAATCTAATTAATTTATTATGAATCAAATTTTAATCAAACTTTGCAATATGCTCTAAAAATTATGCCGATCTCAACAAACTAACCGATTTTGGTTTCTGTTGCCATTAAGGGCTTCAATTTTCAAATTATAATAGAAATCATAACAGATTTTCTTACGATCAACAGATATGAAGTCAAAACCACATTAATCACATAATTAACATTCAAATTCACACCTAGCAGATAAGCACATGCATAATTGAAGAATTAAAAGCATAATACGTGTTGGGGTTATCACACTTTCTCCAAGGACTATAATGCGGGAGATGGTGACGTTCATTGACGCCTTGAGTTGCACAGCTTGGCAGAGTGCGGTGTAATGATGGACAATTGTTCCTAAAATGGTGGTGGTGCGGTGGTTGTGGTGGTGAGGTTAGTATTGGTCGGAGGACTTCTACATCCGCTGCTTCTCCAACAATTACTCCACCGATCTTTATCGTCGACCTTCTTCGCTCTAGATCTAGTTCATCAACAAGATCTTCTATATCAAACTTCAACAAGATCAACGGTGCAACAGTAGACCCAACCCTTGGATCTGAGAGATCAAGGTAGATCTAGTTCGTCGATAATGGCAAGTGCTACCGTCGGCACCACCTCCTTCTTTGAGCCAGTAGCGGTGGCGATGAAGATGAATCTGAGTTGGACTAGCCATATTTGAAGATGAATCTAATTAACATTCAAATTCATACCTAGCACATAAGCACATGTATAATTAAAGAATTAAAAGCATAATACGTGTCGGGGTTATCACACTTTCTCCATGGACTATAATGCAGGAGATGGTGACGTCTATCGACGCATTGAGTTGCACGGCCTGGCAGAGTGCGATGTCGTGATGGACAATTGTTCCTAAGATGGTGGTGGTGCGGTGGTTGTGGTGGTGAGGTTGGTGGTGGTCAGAGGACTACTATATCCGCTGCTTCTCCAACTACTGCTCTACCGACTTTTACCGCCAACATCCTTCACTCTAGATCTAGTTCATCAACAAGATCTTCTATATCAGACTTCAACAAGATCAATGACGCAATAATAGACCCGACCCTTGGATCTAAGAGATTAAGGTAGATCCGGTTCATCGATAATGACAAGTGCTACCATCGACACCACGTCTTTCTTCGACCAGTAGCGGCAGCAATGAAGACGAATCTGAGTTGGACTAGCCAGATTTGAGTTGGACTTGCCTAGATTTGAACTTGAATCCATATATGATGCTCTACTTAACACTAACATATTAAGATAGCTCTACTTTAAGTATTTCTTCTGAAACTGTAAACCATGAATGAATGTATGTGTTGTACAATCATGGTCTTGACTAACTAATGATATCTCTATTGCAATAGCTGATATTATCATCAGTTGGTCATATATCCTTCCAACTCAAATCGTGCAGATTTCTATTTTAATGATGGAAGATCCTCATCTTCTTTACGATCTCAGAGCAACCATTTCACAGAAGTAGTATCTGAAGAACATTAAATCTCTTTTGGTTTTTGAAATATGTTTGAAACAACCTTTGAGTCTGTTCTATACAACTACTTTTAATGTGTGAAACAATATCGAATGTCCTAGCAAAAGTAAATATACATATAGAAAGAAATCTGTTTGGAGTAAGAGAAAATCATTTGGTGGGTTAGGTGAAACTTTGGTTAATTTTGTAGAAAGAACTAGGATTTACTGAGCATTGGAGAGAAATATATAAATAGATAGAGAGAGAGAGAGAGAGAGAGAGAGAGAGATGGAGAGATGATATTCTTCTTCTTCATTTTTTCAAGTGTTTTCATGAGTCAGCTAAGGATTCTGTTTGCATTTATGCTTGATCTGTTTGAAATTTGTTTTTCCTCAAATTTGCACAGATAAAAAATTTGAACGAATAAAAAAGTAGACAAATAAAATTTGTACAAATAAAAATGAGGACAAGAATTTTAATAGATAAGGGTAAAAATTGAACAGATAAGGGAAAAAATTTTGGATAGATAATAAAAAATAAACACATATTTCAACAAATATTGTTTCGACATATAAGAACAAAGAGAAATCCGTAGAATTTGAATAGATAGAGAGAGAAACCCATATATTTTAAACAGATAGGGAAAAAATTGAACGGATAGGGTAAAGAAATTGAACTGACAGGAAAAAATTGAACTGACAGGGAAAAGTTTTGAACATATAGGAAAAAAATTTGAATAGATAGTTAATGAAAGTCAACAGATAAATAAAGGGATATAATTAGAAACAAAATGTATTTCAAAACAAACAAAAGGATTTCTCATCAAACTATTTCACAAAATATGGACCTCTAAAAAAAAAAAAAAAAAAATGGTGAATTTTTTAAAAAAAAAAAAATATTCACTGGACCTAATGCCTTATACCCTCTTTATCTTGGATTTTTCAATAAATATCTTTTGTTTAAATTGAAATAATAAATATTAAAGTAAATGGTCATTTTTTGATAAATCATCTTTCTAAGTGTTTTATTCCATCTAACCCATATTTTTTTTGAGTATTTCATTAAATCATGTTTAATGTAATATGACCAAATCACCCTTTCTAATTTTTAGTACATGTTTTTATTTTGAAACTAATAATAACAATAGTCCTTCATTTTATGAAGAAAATCCCTTCCTCATTCTAAAAAGAGAAACCTTTCCCTTATTCCATAGAAAAAATCTCTCCCTAATTATAAGGAGAAAATCTCACCCTCATTTCATGGGAAAAATCTCAAATTACAAATTTTGAACCTTTTTATAATTTGAAATTTTTTAAAATAATGCAAAAAAAAAATCTAAATGAAAATCAAAATACAATGTGAATGTTCACAATAAACAACAAACAGACAACTAACCTTTGAAAAAATAAGATTCATACCAAAAATATAATGTGAATATTTACAATTTACAATTAACATACAACTAGCCTGAAATAAATAAATAAATAAATAAATTACACTCCTACCAATTCAAACATTTACATTGTAACATGAAAACATAAAATAAAATTGAAAAAAGTGAAAATCGACTATTTCAATTGTTCAATGGTAACAAAAATGATTGTTCAACAGTAACAAAATGATTGTTGAACTAACAAGCATAATAACAAAAACAACAAACACATAATTAACTTCCGAAAAAATAAAATTTATACCAAAATACAATTTACAATTAATATACAACTAATTTTTTTTTTTAAAAAAAGAAAAAACTCATACTAATGTGAACATTCACACTACAAAGTGAAAATATAAAATAAAATTGAAAAAGTGAAAATCAACTATTTCGATTGTTCAATGGTAACAAAAATTATTGATCAACCAACAGGCATAGTAAAAAAATAACAAAATAAAATTAACTTTTGGAAAAACTTAAAAAAAAAAAAAAACTCATAATGAAATACAATGTGAATATTTACAATTTACAATTAACATACAACTAACCTTAGAAAAACTAAATTCATACCACTGTGAACACTCACACTGCAACATGTAACAAAATTGAAAAAACAAAAATTTATTTCAATTGTTTAATGGCAATAAAAAATGATCATCACCTTCATCATCATCATTATCACTATCATTAATAATTTATGCAATTTTACTATTTCACCAATTCAAATCAAACCAAACTCACCTTTGAAGAATAAGTTTGTAACAAAATTAACTGGATAAACACAGATTCGACTAACAACAATATTGGAGAAATATAAAGTTTCGAACATAGAGTAACAATAGACGAATACAAAACTTTGAAAACAAAGTGACAATAAAGAAACACAAAATTTCACCACAACAATGGAGGAACATAATATTATTTCACCACCATGTGTAAACTAGAGTTTTTAAACCCTACCATACAGAGAGTTTCAAACCCTAGCACAATGAAACAATACTACAAATGTTAATGAAACTGATCAAAAAGAAAAACGTGAATAATGATAATTACCAAAATAGAGGTAGTAACGAAAAGGAAAATGTTTATATCATTTTTCTATATAATACATATCAATAATAGACATAAGGATATAATAATTCAACAAACAATATAAATCAAGAAAAAAGAGCCTCATGGAAAAAAAAAAAAAAAAAAAAAAAAAAAAAAAAAAACATAAATATATAAGACTAATTAGGTTATAATTTTTTTTGGTAGATTTATTGGGTTAGAATACCTCCAAATGAAATTTATCAATAAAAAAACTCTAAAGTAAAATTATATGAGTTAAAAATGTAATTTTATGCAAAAATAAGCTTTTATTTTTAATTTTTATTTTTATTTAAAAAGGAGAAGAAAATAAAAGAAACATAGACCAGAATGTTATCAAATCAGTGGGCCAAAAAGGTGGGTCTGAGGCTTTGTTTGGCAACTAGTATAAAAGTTAAAAAATTATTTAAAAAATTAAAAAAATTATAATTTATGTTAAAATATCAAAAATTTTATTTTTTCTTTATTTTTTTTTTAAAAATATCAAAAAATTAACTCAAACATATTAATTTTTTAACCTCATATTTTAATTAAAAAATCAAAAAATTACTAAAATGACATATTCCAAACTAGCCCTATGCATCGTGTGTAGACGTCATGCAGAACACACATAGACCCCTCTCGTTTTGCTTTGAAAGTCAGAGGTGTTTCCGACTCATTTCCTAACAACGCATCAACCGGTGTTCAAATTTGTTTTGTGCTCTGTAAAATTCTCTCATTGTGAAAAACCCTTTTATTTATTTTTATTTTTAAGTTTTAATTTTCCAGACTCGACCGAAAAAGGAGGACGAACCAGCTGTGTGTGGTGGCAATCGAAATCGAAATAAAAATAGACATAGAAAGAGATGGGTGTTTTCGAAGAGATTGGAGCCGATATTAGGTAAGGATTTCAGATTCTTCCCCCTCACACCCAAAATCTTCAATTTTCTTATGTCTTATTTCTCTCTCGTGCTTTCCCCAATCTTGTTTCTCTCAATTTTCGATTTGGTATGTTGAACTAATCTGAATTCGGATTGTTGTAATTTTACAGAATTTTGTTGGGTTTATTAAAAATTTTGTTACATAACTCCATCTTTTTAACATTGGAGAATATAATTTTGGGTTGTGTATATTGTTTGCGTTTCATCTCTCAACTCTTGAAATTGATTTAGTGGGTTTGCTTAGAAATCCAAATACTGTATTTTAGTTTTGTGTGATAGATGTTAATTTCCTGCGTTTCAATTTGTGGCCAGATGACAATTGTAGTTGTTGATGTAATAAGCAAGGGCCTGTGTTTGAGATAAGGGGTGGAAGTTCTTTTGGATGAATTTTGTGTTTTTAGTTTCTATTATTATATACTTTTGAATCGAATGGAGCATTTTATGATTGATGCCAATGGGTTGGACGACAGTTCCGATATTGAAGTGGACGAGATAAGGTGTGAGAATATCACAGATAAAGATGTCAGTGATGAAGAAATTGATGCAGAAGACTTGGAGAGGCGAATGTGGAAGGACCGTATCAAACTTAAGAGGATCAAGGAAAGACAGAAGCTTGCAGCCCAGCAAGCTGCAGAGAAGCAGAAGCCAAAGCCAACAACCGATCAGGCTAGGCGTAAGAAAATGTCAAGAGCTCAAGATGGGATATTGAAGTACATGTTGAAGCTTATGGAAGTGTGCAAAGCCCGTGGATTTGTGTATGGGATAATTCCTGAGAAGGGTAAGCCAGTCAGCGGTTCATCTGATAATATAAGGGCTTGGTGGAAGGAGAAGGTGAAGTTTGATAAGAATGGGCCAGCGGCGATAGTGAAATATGAAGAGGAGTGTCTTGCCAAGGGAAAGGCCAATGGTTTTCAGAAAGGGAACTCGCAAAGTATTCTTCAAGACTTGCAAGATGCAACTTTGGGGTCTCTTTTGTCTTCTTTGATGCAACACTGTGATCCACCTCAGAGGAAGTACCCTTTAGAGAAAGGTGCTCCTCCACCTTGGTGGCCCACAGGGAATGAAGACTGGTGGGTGAAATTGGGACTATCCAAAGGTCAGAGTCCTCCGTATAAGAAGCCTCATGATTTGAAGAAGATGTGGAAAGTTGGAGTTTTAACTGCTGTCATAAAGCACATGTCACCTGATATTGCAAGGATTAGGAGGCTAGTCCGGCAATCAAAGTGCTTACAGGATAAGATGACAGCTAAGGAGAGCTCAATTTGGTTGGCTGTTTTGAGCCGAGAGGAATCCCAAATTCAGCAGCCAAGCAGTGACAATGGAACATCTGGCATAACTGAGGCACCTTCAGGTGGCCGTGGCAAAAAGAAGAAACCTACCATCAGTAGTGACAGTGACTATGACGTAGATGGCATTGATGATGGTGTAGGCTCGGTTTCATCTAAAGATCAACAGCTGGATGTGGAACCAGCTATTCAACCTCGAAATTCTACAACTCGTCTTTTCGAGGATAAAGAGCGACGAGAGGAGCAACCTAGAAGAAAAAGAGCACGTGTACGATCAAGCCCTGCTGACCAACAGCCTGCACCATCTTCTAGTGAGCATCTGCATGATGAACCAAGAAACACCCTGCCTGATATAAACCAAATTGATGTTCCTTCCCATATGTACGGAAGCCAACACAAAAATGATACAACTGAAACTGTGATGCCTGCAGAGAAAGATCTTCAGGAAGGTTACCAGTTACCAGCATCCGAGTTTGATCAAATCTCACCAGTTCCTTTTGCCGATGTAATACACACGCAGAACATGTTTGTGGGCGGCAGGTCATTACCATATCCTGTGGTTCAAGGCTCTGGGTTGCATCATGGACCTCAAGACTCCGGTTTGCACAATGAAACTCAAAATACCAGGTTGCTTAATGGATCTCAAAATTCTGGGTTGCATCAAGGACCGCAGATTTCTCAGTTGCATCAAGACCCTACTTATGATTTTTATAATCCATCATTGGAGTATGGGCCCAGTGGTGTTGGACAGCAGAGCCAAATGGCATTTAGTGAACCATGGATGAGGCCGGTGGATTCTGTAGTCAATCTACCAGCTCTACATAGAAATGAAAATGATATTGCTGGAGGAGATATGCAGCAGTATTTGAAAGATACCTTTCAGAATGAGCTAGATAGACCTGTTACTAATCACTTCGGGTCTCCAATCAATAGCCTGTCACTAGATTATGGAGGATTCAACAGTCCATATCATCTTGGAATTGATAGTACAGGTTCATTAGATACCAATGATATAGACCTTTTCCTGGATGATGACTTGATCCAATACTTTGGGGCATAGATTTATCAGATTTGGTACTTCGAAGTTCAGATTGTGAGTGACTGCCTCCTTTCTTGTCTTTCCCCTTATTTTGGGAACTTGTTTCCATGGATCTTATAATGATGTTATATTTTATGCAGGGGCATAAAAAAATGCAATATCTGGTGTTGAGCTAGGTGAACAACTTCTCTCTTGGACTGTTGCCTGTGCTGATGTTGTCATCCATGCATCACAAGCCTGTAAATTATGACCTCAGTACTTCCATCCCTGAATGTAGTGCAGAAGTAAGGAATTGACTTAAGATTTTTTGGGTTGCAATTGACCTATCTTATCTTATGTAATTTTGAGGATCCTTGAGTCGTTCCTGTAAATGAGTCAATTTGTTTAGTTGGTAAAAACAGCAAGGTACTAGTATTTTGCACATTCTCCTTGGACAAGGTTGAAATTAATAACAAGTTGTCCATAATGTTCCTTTGTCTTCAATTCTCTATTACGCATCTTTAGTTTTTAGGTTGATATAATAGTTATTTATGTTACAGATCTTTATTTTGAAAATTATTTGTTTCTAAATCCTAATTCTGTTTGATGGCCCAACGAGTTTTGAGGCAGAAGCTGTGCTTTTACTGTGATTGTGCCATGGTATTAATTGCACACAAGTTAGGCATTTCTTGTGACAGTATGTATACATGTTTGTGGCATTCCAGAGCTAAGGCAGCTAATAGAGTAAGATACGTACCACACAAATCATCTGAAGTGAATTCATCCCAAACTACATCTCAGTGACCTCGGTTGTATTGTAGTTGTAGTTACCCTCTTGGTGGCATTTTGAGTTTTGCCCCAGTTTTGAGGTGTTGCCCTATTGCAGCATCGCAGTGTATCTGTGAAACCTTTGAGCCCCAACTGCCCACAAAACAACACTGAACACCCACCGCAGAGGGGAGCAATGGGGATGAACTCTATGGAAGTCTCATGCAAGCCAAAAATACCTGCGTTTGTGGTGTGGCTTATGATATGTGTTTAACATGTTAGAGATATGTTCAATTTGAATTTACTAATTTTTTTTGTCCGTTCTTCAATGTGTTTTACCTCTTGCATAGCTATGAAGCATGAATATAGATACGGTTTTGGATATAATATAATACGTATATGACGGTACGACTAAATTTTAAAAAATAGGATGAGTAAAGCTATATACGTAGTAAATTTTTTTTAATAATCTGTAGTATTATCTTATACATAAGCTGAAAGAAGAGTGATACGCCATTCTTTATTAATTAGGTATTAGTTTAAGAGCTAATGGCCAAGTTGCTATTTAATTTTTTTAGTAAGCTCTATAAAAATGTCATTTTATTGTCAAGTCTAAATTGTTTATATAGTCCATGTGCTTTTTCATTTCGCACTTAATCTGTTAAATACAATAGCGTGAAAGTTTTGTACACTAGTTTGTTTAGTTTACTAGTTTAATTGTTAACATACTATATTTTCAAATTTATCCTTACTTTCGATCGATATGAGTACAAAGTAGGATACTAATCTAATCACTATTTTCTTTTTGTCTAAGAAGCAAGCAAAGTACTGAAAATTATTCATATATTTATTTTAATATTCACATTTTAATACTATGTAAGAATTATTACAATTTCAATTTCATAAAAGTTCAGATACATGAACTAGAGTATCCAATACTTCTCAAAATTAAAGAAAATTAATTTCAAATTATGGATATGCTTTGGACGTATCAAATACATATTCTTGAATATCCGAAGAGTATAGATATTTGATATATAAACAATACAATATATGAATCTCTTGTACAATCATTTGTGCTTCATAGCTACACAATATATATGCAGAAAAGACCTAATTGACTGGAAATGTTAATGGCGTTGATCATAAAGATTATTGTAAATCTGGTTTCTCTTTCCTTTTCTTATTTTATTATTTTTTTTTCTAATTTTTTTATTTTATTATTATTATTATTTTTATTTTTACACATTTTATCTGGAGTAAAAGATACACTCCCTCAACTAGACCATATTGATTTTACTTTTTAATAATGTTGTAACAATAAGCTTAGTTATATAATCGGTTACAAAATTTTGATGAGAAGGTTGACAATGGAGATTTTTAATGTGTATCAGTGCCTGTGTTGTGGATTCTGTTTTATCAGGTGATATACCTAGTTGACATCTTAGCTATTTGGCATTATGATTGTGGAGAATGTGATAGTGTAGGTTACTTGATCAATAAGCTGAATAAGAATGATTGATTCACATTCCCTCTAACCCGCCACCCACCCCAAATCCAGAATCCACACCCGAACAGAGAAGAAAGTGTAATGAATATTGCAAAACCATTTGCATTGCAATGAGAAATATTTTTTCCCAGATAAGAAGTTCCATGAATTAGATCATCTGGCCTGGATAGGTCCTTGTGCCTTGTAATATTTTAACTGACAAAAGTGATGATCAAAGCGTTTCTAGGAATGGCGGGAGAATACATTCAGTAAAATCAAACTAAGGATAACAAATAAAGGATAAGCCGTAGCGATTTAGAATTAATGGTTCTTTGAATACCCAAATTAAGGCTTTTGGCAGAATGGAAAACCATAATTCTGTTCCTGACTAGAATGAGTTTGGACTAATAAAACTGAAAATACCTTTGTTGGAGGTTTCTTGATAAGTTTGTCCTAATTTTCTCAATCTGGGGGCCTTTGCTATGCTAAGCCAAAATTGAGTGATTAATTTAAACCCCCAAGGGGTTGACTGAGGCCTAGGGTTGTACTCACTTTAAAGTCTCAGGTTCGAAATCTCTTAAGTGCAAACAATTTATTAAGACTTGTTCACATGGGACTTTGACTTGATTTTAATTGGGGCCCTCCGCTAGCAGATGATGAGATTAGTTTCCTGGATTAATTCGCTCGGTGGGCTAGATACCAAGTTATCAAAAAAATATAAAGTAAAAAATAAATTGTTTGATTAATTTGACTCGGGGTTTAACTAGTTAGTTAGATAGGATTGTTATGCCTCAAATAGAGATGAGAAAAGTTGTAGGCTGAATGTATGTACATATATGCCAGGATTAAGTATGATCCAAATGTGATTGAGAGCTAATGTACTCGAAACTAAATTCTAATGAAAACAAAAGCCTGTGACATAAAGGGCAAGTCACACAGATTATTTTTGTATCAATGAAGAGAACTTGATTATTTTCTGGGTAGGAGTGTTTTAAACAAGGTAAGTAAATATTACCTGATGAAATAGTGATGATTACGGATATGAATAGTGATAAAACCATTTGTAAGCTAAGGAAAACTAAGCTACTACCGCGCTAAGCTAATGATAAGGGTGATGGGCGAAATTTGAATAGAATGATTGTGGTGCAGGACTCTTTGCCATGCCTGAAAATCTTCTATTTATAATTACTGTCAGTTTATTCAATCCTGAATTTGCGTCTGTGCTCCCAACCAAATGCTGTATAATGTATCCAGGCTTTCACCCCACTTCTAGAACCACTTCCAACATTTTCTGATGATTCATTCCCATAATCTATCAACTATCTCTTAGAAATCTTGCGCATGTTCTTCAAAGTCCTTCATACTTCGTCATGTATCACTCTCTTAACTTTTAAGAACTGCCATTTTGATGTAGGAAGTTGTATTGCCAGAAATAATGGATGTGATCATAAATATGACTTAATCCTTGACGAGTGTCATGCATCATGGCTTGAGTTCATCTCTACATGTATAGTTAAGAGCACGAAAAAAACAAAAATAATCCAAATTTATATCTATTCTCCTTTAGACTTTGAAAATTACTTTTTTGACTTAAATATTCATATATATGATATATAATAATTATTTATTCTTGTATATAAAATATGATAATTATATATTTTCCACATATGCCCTACATGTCGTGTCTCATATTTTTTTTAAAAAATCTCATGTCGGCATATCCGTACCATGTCACATGTCTGTGTCCGTACTTTATAGTATATAGTTGTTTGGCAATTATAGTTGAGAAAAAAATAGCAATAAGTGTCATACCCCAAATCCAGGCATAACCAGCCGTGACCCACAAAGACTTAGCCCAAGGCACACGCAAGCCTAAACACGAATCCAATATCACATAGAATAAATGTAACGATAGTTCAGAAATAAATAAATCAAAATCCAATCGCAAGTATACGGTAAAACCAATCCTAATCAATACCATCCAAACGAATGGGATATAAACCGCCCATACAACAAAATAATCCTAAATGAAACTCAATTAAAAAAAAAAAAATGTATGCACAAACTTGACATAACAATCTAAAAAGTAAACATAAAAAAATAATAATAATAAAAAAAAAAATGAATGTCTTAGAGGTCCATGCAATTGACTCCCTACTACACCATGAGTCTACTTTTAAGTTCCTCTAACACTTGAAAATGATAAACAACTACGGTGGTATATCAACGACTTGGTTTTTAATTTTCTGGACTTGGTATATCAAATGAATGAAAATGATAAACAATCTACTGTTTATTTAACGTACCGAATTTATTTATCGAACCGAATTAAAAATTAAAAACCAAGTCGAGTGTCTGACACTCTGTCCTTAAGTCAGATTCGCCCCGCTACGGTGCTTACGGTTAAGTGGCGTCTATCTCCCAGGATATAATGATCTTCACAAATTTATAGTAGCACTGCAAACAAATTTGTCCGGCGAACTATAACCTTGTGTTTTATACTTTCTTTAATTTTCTCTAAAACTAGAATGAAGATTATAAATGCAAAGGAACAAAATCTGGACAACAAAATGTATTTTTTTATACTGTTTTTTATGCATAAAGACTGCTGAAAAGTGGCTGGTATTTATAGGAAAATAAATATGTTCGAACAGGTGCAGAAAGAACCGAAAAGGTATGAAACAGATTTGAACATATGCTATTTTGAATTCAAACAGATTTGCAGCCAGGTTTTGAATCTGTTCGGAAGTTACAAATCTGTAACTGCTGGGCAGTTATAACACTGTTCAAAACAGTTTAAATCTGTTAGGAATATAAGACTGGAGAAGGTTGGTTTCAACAAAAATTTAAATTCAAATTTGAATTCAATTCCTAGAATAATTTTTGAAAAAATTCAAATGAATTTTGTCTAAAAAATTAATACAAGAATCGACCCAACCCACAACCCACACCCACGCCCGGCACGGCTCGGCCGCCGCCGCCGACGCAAGCGCATGGTGGTTTGGGCCAAGGTTCCATTTGTCCATAACTCCTCCCTTCTACAAACTTAAGGTGCCCCTTGGGGCCCAACCCAAGTATTGCACTCTAGAACTTATATACATACACAAGCTCTCTTAAAGTTTCAATGTGGGACAACCCATTTCAAGGAAACCCACATTTAATCCTTTAAATGTCCAATTCCACGAACCCGAAAATGACGTTAAATTTTCATTCACTCATAAATGGTTTTGATGAACCGTTTTCCCCG